TGAGCAGCCACAAAGAAATGATGGCTATGACAGTATAATTTATTGAGCATTTACTAGATGGCAGGCACTGTGCTCTCTCCTGGATGTGAATGTCCATGTGAGGTGGATTCTGTGATTATACATACCCATTTTACAGATGAGAATACTAAGGTTTGGAGAGATTACATAGCAAGTCCAAGGTCATTCACATCTGCCTGACCACAGGTCATGTTCTAAACCCCTGCACCTTGCTTTGTGCTCCCAAATCATTATTGCAGGACACCGCTAATATGATCTTTGCCAGCACCACAACATTGGAACAGCCTTTTGACCCTTGCAAAGCACCTTCATCTCTGCTATGTCTTTAGAGCCCAAGGATTACATAGTCCTTGTTTGACCCACAGCGCTGCTAAGAAGTAGGGAGTTTGAGTAACGGAACTAACACAGCACAGCTATCTACTGGGGGAGCTCTCCGGGACCCCCCCATCCTCACCCTTCACACCTGCACTGCAAAAATATACTTGCTATTCTCTCCCGATAAACCTGGCTTGTTAACATTCATCTGAAGTCAGCTTCTCCTGCTGCCTCTAATCACTCTGATTTTTCCACTTATTTTCTGTTTTGTGCCATGGGAATCTGATCACATTGTTAAATTCTTTTTTTTTTTTTTTTTTTTCAGCTGGACACTATTTGGGTTTTGGTCTTTCAAAGAGTTCCATGTTCATAAAGACCCACATAGCTCTGACCACGTGTCATTGTTATCTGTCCTGCAGCTGAAAGCTGACACATTTCCTCTAGGGACGGATTTTCTTCTTTTTGAAATGAGGACAGTTTGATTGAACATGGTGACCATGACAGGGCTCTGGGATCACAGACTCACTCCATTCTCAGCTCAGCTACTTTATAACTGGGACCTCTCCAAGCCTCAGCTTCCTCGTGCCTACAGTAGAAAGATAATAACTCTGTTTTCATAGCAGTTTTGATGGAAGTGAATAAAATCATGCACAGAAATTGCTTAACACATAGTAGGCACTCAGTAAATGGTTGATCTTTCTCCTGACTCGCTCTCTTCCCCGTCTGCCCCCCATCCCCATCTCCATTTCTCCTTCTCTGCATGTCTCCTTTCTTTAGATATTTTTGTTCCTTCCCACCCACCCCTTCCCCAGAATAGCTGTACTCAGAAGAGCTCTGGATTTTTTATTCCCCGTTCTCTTTGCAGCTCCCCAGACTAACTGTCTGACCCAAAGATGACTTTATATTTGAGCCAATGGAGCTCTCTTGCTGGAGTGATTTGTCTTTGATTTCACAGGACTCCTCCCTTTCTCCAAAAGAAAAGCATCCATGTCTGTGTCTGTCTGTCTGTAAATCAGTTCTGCCTTTTAGAACCCCTAAAGAGAAGTTGCAAAAGTCCTCAGCATCAACATCCAAGCCCTTTTTAAAGACCAGCATAGAGTCCTTACACCCATCCTCTATATCCCAAATCTCCACTTCTGCAGAGAGCAAGTGGAAGTATCAGGGCTGGCTTTGGACTCCGCAACACTCAGCTTCCCCTGTCACCTCTGTCCTCACTCACTGTGTGACCTGGGAAACATACTGACCTCTCTGAGCCTCAGAGGATGATAATGCATTCTTCACAGGGTCAAATAACAGTGAATGCGTAGGAGGCACTTAAGAAGCAGCAGCTCCTCTGGATCACAGCCGCCACTCTTCTTCAGAACACATTCATTAATTTGCTCATTCAAAAACTATGGCAAAAGATGTTCATGGCTACAGGGAAAAGCAAGGGTTAATCTCAAAGGCCCCATACACCTTAAGTGGATGGATGGTGTTTGGGATGATAAGCTCTCAGAGGCTTTGCTGGTTGCATAGTTGGAGGGTTTGCTGTATGCTTGGATAGATGAATGGTTAGATATGGATGAGTGGACAGATGAATAGCTAGATTATGATGGATGAATAAATGGATGGATCAATGGATGGATGGGTGGAGCAAAGGATGAATGGTTGGATTTGGATGGATGAATAAATGCATAAATGAATGGGTGGATGGGTGGAGGGATGGATGGACAGATAAGTGGTTGGATTTGGATGGATGAAAAAACGGATGAATGAATAGGTGGATGGGTGGAGGGATGGATGAATGGGTGGATAGATGGACAGATAAGTGGATTGATTTGGATGGATGGATAAATGGATGAATGAATGAGTGGATGGGTGGAGGGATGGATGAATGGGTGGATAGATGGATGGACAGATAAGTGGTTGGATTTGGATGAATGGGTGGAATGGTGGGTGAATGGATAAGTGGTTGGATTTTGATCGATGAATAAATGGATGAATGAATGGGTGGATGGGTGGAAGGATAGATGGATGGATGAAAAGATACAGCCTTATTAATCACCTAGAATCAGCATCTCATCTAATACAGAAATACTGGAATACCTGTTAGTCCTTAAGTGCATGCCTACCTGCCTGCAATAACTAACTTACGAAGTATTTGGTTAGCAACAAGCAACTAAAAGCAATTGTTAGAAACTTTTCCTTCCAAACTCTAGGTATGATAATGTGGTGTATATTAGTGGTTCAGGGCATGATCTTTGGAATCAGACCTGTGTTTGAATCTCAGCTTAACTAATTAAAGCAGTGTGACCTTGAGCCAATCCCTCGGCCTCTTCTAAGCTGTGGTTTCCTCATTTGGAAAGCGGGGATAATAGCATTACTTTGTAAGGTCATTACAAGGATTAAATTATCTAATGAATGTCAAGGGCTGGTCAATGCTCAATAAAAGGTATTGTTATTTTACTGATCCGAAATGTGCCTTCCTGTAACTTTTGTTTCACCCAGAACCAGATGTGTGTCAGATACTGTTCAAGTGTTGCAGATTCTATGGTAAACAAGGCCAAAATAGCCGCTCATCTCTTGGAGCTAATGTTCTAGTGGTGTGTTCAGATAATAAGCAAGTAAACAGATAAACAATTGCAGACAGTGTTACATGCTATGCAGAAAGTTGAAATCGGGTGAGGTGAAAGAGAATAAAAGAGGTGGTGGTGAGTCCCTTTTTTGGACTGTGAACTAATGAAGATGCAGTCATGCAGAGATCTGGGGAGAAGGTGTTCCAGGTCACAGGAAGCCAGGGAGAAGGTCCTAAGACAGAAATGAGCTTGTTCGAGGAAGAGAAGGAAGGCCAGGGGATAAGATGGAATGTGAGACCCACCAATCAAGGGCAGAAAGATCTGAGTAGTTAGATCACACCAGCCGTAGAAGCTGTGTAGCGTGATTTGGACATTATCTACGTCAATCTCGTCCTGTCTCCTGGAACTACGTAGAAAGAGTCTCGTTCATTCAGCAACCATTCCGCCTTCTGATGACAGCTTAGACTCCCGATGTCCTAATCCCCCAGCCCCGCAGTCTCCGTCTCAGTTCTCCGGGTTTAGATGCTGGGACACTTGCGGCTACTACCCTGACAATGTCCTGGGTCCCATAAACCCAGAATTCGTAAGAAATTGGGTTGGACCCAAGCGAAATCAGGCTGAGGAAAGCTAGGAGATTTCTAGTTGAGATTTTAATAAACTCAACTAGAAAGTTCTTTTTATCTGAAGCAAGGGAAAGAAAGAGAGGAGTCTGTAGGGCTAATTTTCAAAATAAAAGATGTCTGGGACTATTTATCCAAGTGGATGTGGTATAGGACTGGATTTAAAAGAACATGATAGATGACAGTGGGTGATCTGTAGGCTTACTATTGCAGGAGCTTAAGGCAGGCCACAGGCACCTGGACCCTCATCCCCACTTGGCAACATACTCCATGTTAGTTTTCTTCTCAGGCAACCTGTCTCCATGTGGGAACAGAAAGGCTCATAGAATCTTCTAGTCTCCTGTGTAACAGAGAAAGAACCTCTCACCGGGCACAGTGGCTCACGTCTGTAATCCCAGCGCTTTGGGAGGCCAAGGTGGGCAGATCACCTGAGGTCAGGAGTTCGAGACCAGCCTGGCCAACATGATGAAACCCCATCTCTACTAAGAATACAAAAAAATAGCTAGGCATGGTGTTGCGTGCCTGTAGTCCCAGCTACTCAGGAGGCTCAGGCAGGAAAATCGCTTGAACCTGAGAGGTAGAGGCTGCAATGAGCCGAGATCGCACCACTGCACTGCAGCCTGGGTAACAGAGCAAGACTCTGTCAAAAAAAAAAAAAAAAAAAAAAAACAGAGACAACTTCTCTTATGTAGTAGTGCTAACAAACTTCTAGCATTCTGTCTTATTGGTTAATTTACTTGGTTGAGACATATGTTCATCTCTAAATAATACTGTGGCTATGGAGAGTCAGCGTTCCCATTGGCCAGGCCTAAGCTATAGGTCCACCCCGGAAATAGACGATGGAGTTAGGTCTTCCCCACCCATATGGACTGAGAATAGAGGAGAGGATGATGATGCCGCAAAAGGTATTGGATGATGAAGCTTCAGTTATGCAAGATGAGTAAATTTAAAGATCCTGCTGTACAACATTGTACTAATAGGCAGCAGTACTGTAGTGTACACTTAAACATTTGTTAAGACGGTAGATTTCATGCTATCTGTTCTTACCACCATTAAAACAAACAATATATTGGATGCTATTAGAAGAAAGGAGAATGAATTCTTGACAGGCAAAAACAACACATGTATCTTACATTCACTAACTCAAAATTAACTGCTTCTTCCTCTGTGATTCAGAGATACATCTCATAGCTCTCACCTCCTCCTGCCTTGTTCAGTAGCTAAATATGTGTCCATGTGTCGCGTCCAGCCTTTTTAAGCGCCTCAGGATGGAAACTGTGTCGTAACAACCCCAGGGTCCCCAAACCCCTTTTGTGCCTGACCGTATGAGAATCTAAGACGTGCTTAGTGGCATTGAATTATGTTTTAGGGCTCAATGTGATGACCGTGCCCCTAAAATAGGCCCCAAAAGAAGCACCAGAGAAACTTCCTGCCCCTGCAAAGGATAACAGAGCCTCACTTTCTCCTCTCTGGTCTCTTGGATTTTCCCTAGGTAAAGCCAACAAGAACGTACAGTGGGATGAGGACTCTGTGGAGTACATGCCGGCCAACCCGGTCAGAATCGCCTTTGTCCTGGTGGTCCACGGCCGCGCCTCTCGGCAGTTGCAGCGCATGTTCAAGGCCATCTACCACAAAGACCACTTCTACTACATCCACGTGGACAAGGTGAGAGGCCCCTGTGATCGCCCCTTGCTGGGCTTCCTTCAGGGTCTGTCGGTCCCTCTCTGATACCCTCCTTCCGCATCGCTAGTCCGGGCTGCCTGCTTTCAGAAAAGGCTTGGAAGCTGACCAGCTGCCTCTCCACAGAGCGTGTGGTCCTAGAGCGCTGTCTCTCTGTGTGTGTTGGTTTCAAAGTTCCCAGCTGTGACTTACAGTTTTGTCCATAAATGCTGTTTTTTGAGTTTTATTTATTTATTTATTTTGAGACAGAATCTCGCTCTGTCGCCAGGCTGGAGTGCAGTGGCGTGATCTCCACTCACTGCAACCTCTGCCTCCCAGGTTCACGCGAGTCTCCTGCCTCAGCCTCCCAAGTAGCTGGGACTACAGATGCATGCCACGATGCTCAGCTAATTTTTGTATTTTTAGTAGAGATAGGGTTTTACCATGTTGGCCAGGATGGTCTTGATCGCTTGACCTCGTGATCTGCCCGCCTTGGCCTCCCAAAGTGGTGGGATTACAGGTGTGAGCCACCGTACCCGGCCCACAAATGCTGTTTCTTACCTCTCCCTTCTGCCCATTGCCCTCTGCCTGCCTCTCACATACTTTGTGGGAATAGCTTACCTGTATTACTCCATTTTCATGCTACTAATAAAGACATACCCAAGACTGAGTAATTTATAAAGAAAGATGTTTAATGGACTCACAGTTCTAAGTGGCTGGGGAAACCTGACAATCATGGCGAAAGGCATGTCTTATATGGCGGCAGCAAGAGAGAAAAACAAGAGCCTAGCAAAAGGCGTTTCCCCTTATCAAACCATCAGATCTCGTGAGACTTATTCACTACCACGAGAACAATATAGGGGAAACCACCCCCACGATTCAATTATCTTCCACGTGATCCCTCCCATAACATGTGGGAATTATGGGAGCTACAATTCAAGATTAGACTTGGGTGGGGACACAGCCAAAGCATATCGCTATCCCAGGAGTGGGTACACTTTTTCTATAGAAGGCAAGATAGTACGTATTTTAGGTATTGCAGGGCACATACTGTCTGTCACAGCTACTCAGGACTGCCCTGTGCTAAAGCAGCCGAGGAGAACATGTCAACAAATGAGCATGGCTATGTACCAATAAAACTTTATTAACAAAAACCTGCATCAGCCCTGCTAATCCTGAGCTACCTTGTCCCTGAGATTTCTGTTGGTGACACAATTATGCCTTTAGTCAAGAAGGCAAAGGGGGATGTCTTGTCCAAAAGGTTGGCTTCTAGCAGACCCGTGAGAGGATAATGAAGGAGCAATGAGTAGGAGGGGGGACAGGAAACAGAAATTCTGCCTCTGAAATATACATGGGTTTAGATAGAGCCATATTTCCCAGCTTATCTTCCTCAGACCCCATGCAGCTGTCATGTATAAGAATGCAAAGTTGGCCGGGTGCAGTGGCTCACGCCTGTCATCCTAGCACTTCGGGAGACCGAGGTGGACGGATCACCCAAGGTCAGGAGTTCTAGACCAGCCTTTCCAACATGGTGAAGCCCCATCTCTACTGAAAATACAAAACTTAGCTGGGTGTGGTGGTGCATACTTGTAATCCCAGCTACTCGGGAAGCTGAGGCAGAAGAATTGCTTGAACTTAGGAGGTGTAGGTTGCAGTGAGCTGAGATGGCACCATTTCGCTCCAGCCCGGGTGACGGAGCGAGACTCTGTCTAAATAAATAAATAAATAAATAAATAAAGCAAGACTCTGTCTCAAAAAATAAATCAATAAAATAAAATTTTAAAAAATGCGAGACTCTGTCTAAATAAATAAATAAATAAAGCAAGACTCTGTCTCAAAAAATAAATCAATAAAATAAAATTTTAAAAAATGCGAGACTCTGTCTAAATAAATAAATAAATAAAGACTCTGTCTCAAAAAATAAATCAATAAAGTAAAATTTTTAAAAATGTGAAGTCCTAGGCACCACCAGCCCAAGCCTAGTGAACCGTTAGCTCAGAAGTGGGGCCAGGGAATCTGCCTTTCAAATGGCTAATTTGAAATGTAAAAAATAATACAAGTTTGAATTGCAATACAGAAAGACACCCCAGTTCAGGATCATTTACTTGGCAAAGGCCACTGTCCTCAGAAGTACCCAACTAGGAGGGAAGAGACAGAGAGGGGATGGGGTGAGGGGCATGCCTGGGTGTTTTCTAGGCCACTGAATGTCATCACCCTTTCTCTTCTGGGAAAAGCGCTCTAATTACCTGCATCGACAAGTGCTCCAGGTCTCCAGGCAGTACAGCAATGTCCGCGTCACCCCCTGGAGAATGGCCACCATCTGGGGGGGAGCCAGCCTCCTCTCCACCTACCTGCAAAGCATGCGGGACCTCCTGGAGATGACCGACTGGCCCTGGGACTTCTTCATCAACCTCAGTGCGGCCGACTACCCCATCAGGTAAGGTGGCCAAGGGCCCCAAACCAGCCTCGTCTGACGTCCTGCTCTGGCTGGTCTTGGCTGGGAACCCATGAGGCAGAAGGAGACCGACGCATAGTCTCCAGAGGATCTCTCAGGATAGGATTCTGATTAGACCTGAGAATCACTGATTCATTCACTCACTCATTCACGCATTCAACAGATACAGACTGTGCACATGGTTTTCCCAGCTCTGTTCGCTGATATACCAGCGCACTAAACAGACAAACTCCAACCCGCATGGGGCTTTGTATTAGGGTTCTCTAGAGGGACAGAACTAACAGGATAGATGTATATATAAAGGGGAGTTTATTAAGGAGTATTGACTCATATAATCACAAGGTGAGGTCTCACAATAGGCCATCTTCAAGCTGAAGAGCAAAGAAGCCAGTCCGAGTCTCAAAACCTCAAAAGTAGGGAAGCCGACAGTGCAGCCTTCAGTCTGTAGTCGAAGGCCCAAGGATCCTAAAGCTGGAGAACTTGGAGTCCGATGTTCAAAGGCAGGAAGCCTCCAGCACGGGAGAAAGACGTAGGCCGGGAGACTCGGCCAGTCTATTCCTTCCACGTTCTGCCTGCTTTTATTCTGGCCACGCTGGCAGCTGATTAGATGGTGCCCACCCAGATTGAGGGTGGGTCTGCCTTTCCCAGTCCACTGACTCAAATGTTAATCTCCTTTGGCAACACCCTCACAGACGTAGCCAGAAACAATACTTTGCATCCTTCAGTCCATCATGTTGACACTCAATAGTAACCATCACAAGCTTCCATTCAAGTAGGGAGACACACAACAAAATGAGTTAAATGATGTCTTAGAAAAATAAAGCAAAGGGCGAAAGTAGGGGAGAATTGTAATTTTACCAACGGTGGCCTGGAAGGTTTTCACGGTTAAGAACAGAAGAAGATGAAAAAGAGAGTCACACCTACAGAGAAAGTAGTCCAGGCAGGAGGAAAGGCAGGGGCTGAGCCCAGAGATGGGTCCAGGCTTGGCTTGTGTGAGGAACAGCCGGGCTCAGTGGAGCTGTAACAGAGTAAGTGAGGGGTAGCGTAACAAGAGATACAAAGTCAGAGAGTAATTCGAGGCCAGATGGTGGTGATCCTAGAATTTGGCTGTTAGTCCAAGCAAGATGGAAGCCACTGGCATGATACTTTGAATGATATTGTGAACGATGTATGTATGTATGTGTGTATATGTGTGTATATGTGTATATATATGAGACAGAGTCTCACTCTGTCACCCAGGCTGGAGTGCAGTGGTGTGATCTCAGCTCACTGCAGCCCCCACCCACCAGGTTCAAATGATTCTCCTACCTCAGCCTCCCACGTAGCTGGGACTACAGGCACCCACCAACACACCTGGCTAATTTTTGTATTTTTAATAGAGATGGTGTTTCACCATGTTGGCCAGGCTGGTCTCAAACTGCTGGCCTCAGGTGATGTGCCTGTCTTGGCCTCCCAGAGTGCTGGGATTATAGGCGTGAGCCATTGTGCCAGGCTGATATTTTCTCTCAGGAGGGCAGCTTTTTCCTTTGACTGTGTTTTCCATCTGGATTCGCTGACAAGTGTGAAAAGGAAAGTGTATGGGAGTGAAGAGGGGGATCTTCCTCCCTCTAATGGCACAAGGCCGTAGGGTACAGCATTCCCAGGAGATCTAGATGAAGGAGTCCTAAAAAAAATAAAACTTTTATTAAGGCAACTTGCAAACACGCACAAGAGTACCAAGAATAGTGTAATGCACTCCCACATAGATGTCACCCAGGTTAATTCATGGCCATTTTTCTTGTGTCTGGACTTTCATCCTCTTCCCCCAACGGTGGATTATTTTGAAAGAAATACAAGATATCATATAATTGTATCTGTAAATATTTCAGTATATATCTAGAAAAGATAAGATCCCTTTTTTAAGACAGCATCACAACGATGCTTATGCCTAAAATATTAGCAGGCAGGTTTTAATGGCATCAGATATCTAGGTCACATATTCTCAAGAGTTTAAATTTTGAATCAGAACCCAAAAAAGGTACAAGCGTGGAAGGAAGGCCTCTCTTTAAAGCTACAAGCAGCTTCTTTCTTCTTCACAGCATGGTCGTTGGGGGTCTTCTTCAGTCCTGGGCTTGGGGGCATCCCCCCCCCAACATCTGCTGGGAGACCCTAGACTGTAGAAGGTGCTGGGGAGGCACACTCTCTGGTCAGTTTGAACGGGGTACACCTGACACCCTTGAACCTGAGAAAAATGACAGGCACTAGAAAGATAACTGTTTTCCTTTGTCCATAGGACACAGGGATAGATGGGAATGGTTACAGAACATTACTGGTAGAGTTGTACTTACCACAATTGTGTTCATTTGTTCAACAAACATTTACTGAGCAACTACCGTGCTACGTGCTAAGTAGTACATTTTGTGAACAAAAGCAATACAGCTTCCTGTACTTCTCCCCTGCTCATGGAATGTGTATCCTAGCTGAGAAGATGGGGTTAGATGATCATGCCAAAGACACATCAAGCAAGGTGTGAACAAGCCATAAAGAAAGGAAGATGTGGGCTGGGTGCGGTGGGTCATCCCTGTAATCCCAGCACTTTGGGAGGCCAAGGCGGGTGGATCAGAAGGTCAGGAGTTCAAGACCAGCCTGGCCAAGATGGTGAAACCCTGTCTCTACTAAAAAATACAAAAATGAGCTGACCTCGGTGGTGCATGCCTGTAATCCCACCTACTCAGGAGGCTGGGGCAGGAGAATCACTTGAACCCAGGAGGTGGAGGTTGCAGTGAGTCAAGATCACGCCCCTGTACTCCAGCCTGGCAACACAGCAAGACTCCATCTCAAAACACACACACACACAAAAAAAAGGAAGATGTGGGAGTGGGGAAAAACTCGAGGGCCATAATCAGGAGGTCAGAAGGGCCTCTGAATATTCAGCTTTGAACCGAGACCTAGAGGACAAGAAGGGATCCACTGGGAAGGAAATGTGAAAGAGATCCTTCTAGACTGGGATTCGTAGCAGTGGCACTGCTGATGTTTGGGGATGGATAATTCTTTGCTGTGGGTGCCGTCCTGTGCTTTGTAGGATGCGTAGCAGCATCTCTGGCCTCTGCCCACCAGATGCCAGGGCCACACCCTGCCCACCTGTGCCAACCACAGATGTCTCCAGACATTGACACATGACCTGGGAGCTAAAATTGCCTCCACTTGAGAACCACCATTTCTTATAGAGGGAACAGCCTGGGCACAATGTAGCACAGAAACAAACTTGTTGCATTTGAGAAATTTAAACAATGGATAGAGTATAATAAAACAATGAGGAGAAATGAGTTTAGACAAGTACATGGCAAGGAGGGGTTAGAACATTCCTTCTCCATCTTTCGTGAAAGGAATGAGTTTGGAAATATCCCAAAATGCTGAGCATAGCAGCAAGTGTGGCAAACACTTGCTTCCACCCTTACAACAAACCTGTTTTACAGAGGGACAAACTAAGGCCCCATGTCATGTGATGAATGCATGGCGGAGTGGGGATTAGAACCAGTTTCGTCTGGTTGCAAAGTTGGTATTCCTTCTGGCTTGAAGTCGGCCTCTTAGGGAACTCAGCAGAACTGGACTGTCAGGATGGCCCCAGGCCACCTTGAAAGCACAGAAGGAAACAGTCCCACCCCATGAGCTTGTGGCTGGGCAGAATAGTGGTTAGACTGCCTTGCAGCAGGGATGTCCAGGATGGTCGTAGGAGGACCCCCATTGTCTGTTCCTGAGTGGTAGGGGCTATGCTCAAAGTTCCCACATTCTTCCTTCTCTGGATTCCCGTTGGAGGCCTCAGAGGTCATGCCAGGCTAGGTTGGGGACCTGCATTAAGCCAGAGACCTCTTGAGGCCAGGTAGGCATGCGCGTTGCTGCCCCCTGGAGGCCACTGTTGGCTTGCTTTGCGTGGCCACTTCCCTTAAAGAATCCAGCTCCGCTCAGCACCCAGGAGGGTGAGTGCCTGCGCTCAAACTGCTTAATGCTCGAATCCGAGTTCTGCCACTTAGTTAGTAGCATAACCTCAGGCAAGTAAATCCAATTTCTGTGAAATTGGGATATAATAATAGAACCTAGCAGCCTGTTGGACACTTGGAAGGTGCTCAACGAATGTCAGCCATTTATACGTAAGCTGCATCCAAGGTCTCATCTTGTATCTCTGAGAGGTCCAGAAATCATTTCTCAGGCCATGCGTGCAACCTATTTTGGAGTTCAGAGAAGAGAGTTGTCTTATTTGTGGCTTTTTTTGCTTTAGTGCCCCAGGTCACTCTGTATCTCTTGGCCTTTCTCATCCTCTTCCTCTACTTCACTGATCTCATTTCCATGGTGTCTCCCATGAATTCCTTTGCCCACTCTTCTTTGCCAGCCTCATAGCCAGAGGCACTTTATGCATCAAGCACTGCTGGTTCCTCTTGCTGTTGTTTTCATGAAGTTGCCCTACACAAAAACATATGAATTTTGCAGATGAATGGTTTCATCCTGGGCAATGCTGATAGGTTTTCAGTTTCCATCTGCCGCCCCATCTGTAGCTTCCAAAACCACTACTTCTCCCATCCCAGGAAGAATGAGCAAACTCAGGAGTCTTCTCAAAGGGGCAATAGTGCCCAAGTCAGGCACTTCTAAGAGGCACTGAAAACTTGGGGGATACTTAAGGGCCCAGCCAGCCCGACGTGGCCGCTGTGAGCAGCTTTGTGATTTGACATCACCTCCCTGTGTCCCCCGCACAACCCTCACTGTGGAAGGTGCAGGGGAACGGGCAGATTCTTCCTCTCTTAGATATTAACGATGCACTGGTCTTTACTGGTCACTAACCTTGTTTAGGCCCTGGACACAGACGTCCTGGTTTCAGGTGCTGTCTCACCACCAACTGGCCATGTGGATCAGCACGAGTTGCTTCAACTTCCTGCATCTCAAATTCTCCACCTTAAAATAAACATAATATTAGTGCCCGTTTCACAGGGCTCTTAGGAAGTTTCCGTGAA